TTAAATAAAGAAATGGCAGATGGTGACATAACCACAAAACAATGTACATCAAGTCCAAAGTAACCCGAGGACTGTCTGTAATCAGATATTTTTAATGGTAGTTGGTAGCAGCAAGAGAGTCAATAGAATCTTAATAAAAGCTACATAAGCAGGCGGAAGGAGGGAATACCGTAGTAGAGGTAGCAGAGTCAAAATGACTGGATTACCAGGACTTGAGAACTGTGGCCAGTCTACCATGTATTCTGAGTGACTGCAAGGACTGACCATCGAACTGCTACGAGGCTTCCTGGCTTTGTTCCCCTTTGGTAATTTAAAATAACTCCTATTAACTAAAGCTACAAGAGCCAAATGCCCACTAGATGATACTGGTCTACACACAGCTGCCAACCTTTGCTCTATAGAGCTGTGACCAGATAGGGAAGCCCAGGTTCTGAGCAGGGGAAATCTTTCTTCCTCCCTTTGTCATTCCTGATCAGGACAAAGCCTAGGGAATCTGGTGTAATGACGAAAGCCCTGCAGAATCTAAAAAAAATTTTTCAATGCCAAAATGTGGTAGGACTTTTGTTGTTTTGTTTTTGTTAATTCTCACCTATGGATATTTTCCCCACTGATTATTAGAGAGTGGAAGGAAGGAAGGAAGGAAGGAAGGAAGGAAGGAAGGAAGGAAGGAAGGAAGGAAGGAAGGAAGGAAGAAGGAAGGAAAGGAGAGGAGAGGAGAGAGAGAGAAACATCAATGTGAGAGAGACACATTGATCGGTTGCCTCCCACATATGCTCTGACCAAGGCTGGGGATGGAACGCGAAACCCAGGCACATGCCCTTGACTAGGAATCAAATCCATACCCTTCACTGTGCAGGCTGGAATTCAACTACTGAGTCATGCCAGCCAGGGCAATATGTGATAGGTTTTAACACCCCTGCAAAGACTTAGGTTTGGAATTTGAGTCCCAACCCATAAAAGCCACTCCAGAATCTCTTTAAAGGCAAAGCTTATGGACTGTTTCAGATTCGGGAAAGTGGTCAGGTCAGACCTCCTGGTACTGGCTTCTCTTGGCTACATAGGCCCTTTGCAACCAAAACGATGAATGGGGAGGGAGAGTGGGTCAGGGCAGTGTTACCTATTTCACGTCTGGGGAGCAGTAAGAATGGCTTGGAAAATGCAGAAAATAAGTTGCAAGAATTGACTCATTCCCTTGATATGTATTCATATCAAGTTCTATTGAGAGACAGGGAAGCCTAACTCACCATGCTCACTTGGGGAGGACAGTAATTCTTTCAGGGCCTTGGCTTCCTCAGTGGTGGAGGGAACCAAGTTTGGGCAAAGTTAGTTTCTTCTCTTCTCTAAGAGTCTATGAGTCTAAGGTAGAAACCTATCCAATAGGCACCTTGGGTGACTTTATCCTATGGTATTTTATTCCTGGAAATGGGTCAAATAACATGAATATAAAACATACAATTAAAAAAAAAAAGCAAGTTAATTTTAAGAGTGTCACTGTTCAGCCTCAAGCCTAGCTGAAGGTGACTCTTATTTTGTGTCATATTGAATGAAGCAAGGGATTATCGTGGGTAACAGAATCTCCTGCAGTTTCCTCTTTCAGCAGGCACCTTCTCTTCCTTCAAAACTCACAACTTCATGCAGACTTCATTGCTCTCTGCTCAGAGCTCCCATAACCCTTTGACGATTACTGGGCTTATAACAGTGTATTGAATTAGTCTATAAGTCTCTCTCCCCCTCTAGACTTTGATTTCCTCAAAAGCAAGGTTTGAGCCTTATTTATTTTTGCATCCATTATTGTACTTGGAACCATATAGCTCTATCAATGTTGTTGAATGATGAATGATATCTTACTTAAATGTTTATGCTCTGCTGACATGGAGAGACAAACTATAGGAGCAAGAAATCATAATACAGCCAGTTCCTTAAGAGTTTAATTAAGTCTGAATAAAAATCTTCCCCAATTGGATTTGGGAACAAAACTAAGAGGCAAAAGCCAAGAAGATTGAGACCTGATAACCTAGTAGAATATTGAAAAAGCACAAAATCCTATTGGCCTCTGTTGATTAGTTAATAGTGATAAACCTGGCAAACTCCTTCAGGTGGACAGCCAGTCCTCCCTGAGCATGTACCAGCTCCTGCAGGAAGACTGCTGGCAGCCCATGCTGCTGAGGGGCTGAGGCAAGGGTCATCCAGGGTGCGCCATCAACAGCAGGGACAGACAGGGCACATGCATGACCTAATCCACAGCAAAGATGCATTCATGCCAATATTTGAATTTTTTAAAAATAAATTTTTATTGATTTTAAAGAGAAAGGAAGAGGGAGAGAGATATAGAAACATTAATGATGAGAGAAAATCATTGATTGGCTGCCTCCTGCATACCCCCTACTGGGGATGTGCCCTTGACTGGAATAAAATCTGGGACCCTTTAGTCCACAGGCTCACACTCTATCCACTGAGCCAAGCCAGTTAGGGCTGAATTTTATTTTTCTGACAACTTGCCAATTATAACAAACTGACTTATCTGTTTCATTTATAATTTATTTAGCAAATATTTATATTGAATTCTTATTATTTTATAGACATTGGTCTAGGCATTGATAAAACAGAAAACAAAACAGACCAAAAAATCTTAATCCTCATGGAGCTTACATTCTAGTGTGGAAGACAGATAATAAACAAGTGAGTGAAATAAGAAATGCTAAGAAGAAGAAAAAAAAAAAAGCAAAAGAGGGGATATATATTTTTAGGATTGCTTAGGATAGTCAAGGAAGGGCTTTCTGAGAAAGTAACTCTTGAGTAAGGAAATGAAGGAAGTGAGCTCTCAAATGAGTTGGGGAATAGCAGGAAGTGCAAATAAAAAGACCATGAGGTCAAGTTCAAAGAGTTTGTAAGGGGGCCCTGTGACTGGAGATGCGTGAGCAGAGTAGTGGCAGTGAAAGGTTAGAAAGACAACATAGAGTCACGCTGGGCCTGGTAGGACATAGTAGAAACTTTGCTTTTAGTTCAGATGGAGTGAGAGGCCAATGGAATGCAAGAATGACTCAACTTGACGTATTTAACAGGATCACTTTGGCTCCGGTGTTGAGAATTACCTTGTAAGAGCAGTTGCAGGAAAACCAGTTATGAGGAGAATTGCAATAATGTAGGTGAAAGATGATTGTAGCATGGACAAGGCTTGGGACAGCCAGGATGGGACTAGAAGTAATACATGTCAAAAGCAGAACCGACAGAGGAGACTGAGAATGAGCAACTCAAAAAGAAGGAGAAAAACCAGGCAAGGGGGGATGTCCTGAAAACGAAGTGTAGAAAGCTTTTCAGGGAAGAGAGAGTGATTGACTGTGTCATCTATCCTGCTAGGTCAAGTGGGATGAGGGCTGAGAAATAATCAGTAGGTTTCCTAGCAATGTGGAGCTCACTGGTGGCTTTGAAAAGAGCAGTTTCAGAGAGGTGGTGAGGGTGTTGGTGATGGGATGGGAGAACAGAGATTGGACCCGTGGGTACATGCAAGACTTTCAAGGATTTTTGCCAAAAAGGGATGGAGAAACAAAATGAGTGTCAGTCAAAGGGACAAGTTATTTTAATATGGGAAAATTAGCAATCTCCTTGGAGGCTGATGTGGGGAATAATTCAGTAAGGAGAGAAAAATGGATGATGTAAATGACAGAAAAGAAAATGGTGGTGGGATGCTCCAGAGTAGGCAATGGAGGACAGTCTTAGTCATGAATGCAGACAGTTCCTCTGTCCACAGAAAGCAGAGAGAAGGCAGAATGTGTGGGGATGGGAGATTGTGGAAGTTCTCTCTGATTGCTCCAATTTCCTCAGCAAGGCTGGTGGTAAGATGGTTTGTTGGTTGAGGATGGAAGAAGAGCTGGAGATTTCAGGGGAGGGGAGACAATATGAAACAGCCCTCTCCTGGCAAAAGGAACAATTCTCTACATATTAGCAAGTTTATAGTAAATGGAACTAGTTGTCAATGGGGAGACTTAAGCATAGATAGGATGCCATTTGTCAGTGATGTCTCAGGGGGAATGTAAGTATTAGACTGGGGATGTAGTGATAGTTAAATAAGCCTTTTTCCAGTCTTTAATATTTATTCTTTCAGAAACTTGTGTCTGAAAGTTTTTTTTGTTAGTATTATATATAAGATCATTGATGTGGTATAGAAATATAAACATTTACACACATATATAAGTACATATAAGTATTTGTATATGCACAGATACATTCTAATTTACGTAAGACTTTCAGAATTCCATCTCATCAAATGTCAATAAAATGCTTAACAAGCTCTAAAGATGAAAACTGAATGCACTAAAATCAGAAATTTAAAATAAAGAATTCTTATCTAGTAGCCTGAGGGAAATGTCTGCTATTTTATAAGCACTGAAAGTCCTCAATAATCTTGCAATAATAATATTCGTACACTCTCAGCACTCAAAGAACTGCTGGGAAGTTGCCTCATTAACCTTTATAATACCCTTGTGGGGTCGGCAGGAATTTGATGAGATTTCCATTCTCTATGGTGAACTAATGGGGACAGGGAGATTTGAGGGAAAAAACTGTAGACAGAGCTCAAATATAAGTAAACCCTGTATTGAGTCCTGAGAGAGTCATCAGTTTAGGGGCATATGAATGAATTAAAGTCTATTAATCACCAGTCATTTAAAACATGTATCATAGATCTCAAGAATAGAAAGTCATGTCAGAAGAAATCATGAGAACAAAGAAAAATGAAAGGAAATATTTTGAGCACTTTCTATTTGGGTCTTTTAACCTGTATCCAGTTATAGATGTAAGAGAAGCAAGGACTCATTAGAGAGAACAAGAAGTATGAGAATAAAATGAATACTCTGAACAAAAACAGGAATTCTAAAGTTGCTAAAATGAGAGACAGGAAAGGGAATGAAGTGAAACAGAAGAATCTCATATGAAGCATATAATGGAAGGAAAGGAAAAAGCTCTGGAATTTTGAAGTCAGGGAAAGTCATCCATCTTGAACTGAAGAGTGTGTGTGTGTGTGGTGGGGAATGTGGTGAAAGAATCAATAGTCTTCCAAAACAGCATTCTTCATTTGACACTCAAATGGCCTTCTGTTAATAATAAGCAGCAGGTGCAGGCCAGTGTGGCTCAGTGGTTGAGCATGGACCCATGAACAAGGAGGTTACAGTTCGATTCTCAGTCAGGACACATGTCTGGTTGTGGGCTTTATCTCCAGTAAAGGGCATGCAAGAGGCAGCTGATCAATGATGTTTCTCTTTCATCTATGTTTCTATCTCTCTATCCTTCCTCTCTCTCTAAAATCAATTAAAAAGCACACATTAAAATAATAAGCAGCAGCTAATATTTATTGAATTTACCGTTTTCAAGGAAGTCTTCTTAGCACTTTACATGTATTAATTTAATCTTTTTTAAAAACATATTTTATTGATTTTTTTTCAGAGAGGAAGGGAGAGAGAGAATAGATAGTTAGAAACATCAATGAAAGAGAAACATCGATCAGCTGCCTCTTGCACACCCCCTACTGGGGTTGTGCCCGCAACCAAGGTACATGTCCTTAACGGGAATCAAACCCTGGACCTCTCAGTCCGCAGGCAGACACTCTATCCACTGAGCCAAACCTGTTTCAGCTTAATTTAATCTTTATCACATATAATAGTACTACTATTATACTTATTTTACCAAATTAAGCATGGAGGTAAAGTAACCTGCCCCAAAGCAGTCATTCATGAAGCAGCCTGCTAATTCAGTTCACAAATTTATTAAGTATCTGTTATTTTACATCCATAATAAATACCTTGTTGAATGAATGAATGAATGAATGAATGAATGAACTAGTGAACATCGGACCTTGTAGAGCTGAATGCCAGGTGAAACTCAGGCAATGTACAAAGTATCCAAGGTCCCAGTTGAGGTGTTCTGACCACTCTTCGATCATCTTTTCCTCCTTGGTACTCTCCTTACCTTTGCTCCCCATTGTTTCCATCCCGTCCCAAGCTCTTCAGGTATTTTTCTTACCCATTGAAGCAATCTTTTTCTCCAAGTTCAAGTTCTCTGTTCCACCACCACTTTCAATATTCTGTCCTTAGTTAAAAATCAATATTGTTCATGATTTAATCCGTGGGAACATGTCTTCAGCTAGGTCTTTCCTGGGACCCTCCTCTGAGGGTATTAAACTCAAGGTCAGCATGCTTACATACCCTTTGAATGAGAAAAGCTTAATGAATATCTTGTATATGGAAAACCTGGTATTTAAGTGTGGAAACTCCATGCGTTCCAAGGTAGAGAACATATCAAGATGGCAACCACAAACAATGACATTTATAGATGCACTATGATACAAGTTTGAAATTCATGCACCGGGGTGGGGGTAGGGGGGCCTCAGAGCAGCCTGCACCCTCTCCAATCTGGAACCCCTCGGGGGAATGTCCGATTGTCAATTTAGGCCCGATCCCAGGCAGTTGGATGTCCGTTTCACAATCCGGGACCACTAGCTCCTAACTGCTCACCTGCTTGCTGCCTGATCACTCCTAACCATCTCTGCCTGCTGGCCTGGTTGCCCCCAACTGCCCCTCCCTGCCAGCCTAGTTGCCCCCAACTGCCCCTCCCTGCAAGCCTGATTGTCCCCAACTGCCCCCCTTTGCTGGCCTGGTTGCCACTAACTGCCCCCTGTCAGCCTGGTCGCCCCCCACTGTCCCCCTGTCGGCCTCATTGCCCCATGCAGCCTATTGTTAGTCACTATTACTGTCACAGCATCCTGGACAATTTGCATATCCCTCTATTATTAGTATAGATAGCTCTTTGCTATCATTTTTTGCACATCTATGAAAAAAAATAATAGCAACGACTTGATGATTGCCTACTAGGTCCCAGGAATTCTGCTAAGCATTCATATGTATTCTGTCATATAATGCTCACAAAGACCCCAAGGGGCCAAGACATCCTCAAGGACTTACCTTGATTAACCTTGAGAAACCAGCATTTCAATTTGTTCTCCCAAAGTCCCAAACTGGTGCTGTTTTGAACTTCAGCCGGGTAACCCATGCACCTTCTCCTTGTGAGAAAGATAGAAACACTCCTGGCCCCAGGCTCTCCATCACCTCCCTGAGGAGACCTTCACAGCAAATGCTCTTCAGACAGCCATGAAAGCTTCACTCATCTGTTGCAGTAATTGCAACATTTATTTTCTGGAAACTCTTCTAAGTCAAGTCCCACAGGCCCCAGCAAGAGACACATTCCTGTTCGGGAGGTCAGGCAGCAGCATTAGCCTCAGTCCCATTGTTCCTTCTTGTCACTGCAGTGACCCCGAGCAAACCACCGGGACATGTCCCCTCTCAGGCCACGCCACCCTGGTGCAGGGATGGTAAGAAAATAGGCATCAACCCTCGCCCATGAATTGGTTTTTATCCCTGCAACTGGGGACGCAGTGAGGAGTCAGCACTCTGCAGCCTGGAAGAGAGTTTGCACCAGAACTGATCACGCCGGTTCAGTATGCAAAACTGTGAGAAATAAATTTCTGTTGTTTATAAAAAAAGAAAAGAAAATAGGAATCAAGCAAATTCCAGCAACTTCCTGAAATTTGCATTTCAATCCTTTTTAGAGAGATTTCTTTCTGTTTACCCTCTCCCCTTTCTTATCTGCTGACCAGGGACTTGACAAAGTGGTTTTTGTTTGTGCTGGTCTCAGGTGCTCTTGAGGTGTTATCTCATTCCATCTAATGAGCCTCAAATCTCCCTCAGAGTAACCCCTTATGGACAGGGACCTGGTCTTGCTCTATGCCCAGTGCCTAACTTTGTGCCTGCTACACAGTAGAAACTCCATACATGTTAGCTGAATGAGTGAATATACTAGACTCCACTAAATTGAGGAAAAATAGCAAATTGCCTTAATACCTTGGCCCCAGGGTATTTGGGAATTTTGCAAATACAGATTTCCAGACCTAGCTGGAGATCTGTAGAAATAGAATCTACATGGCAGGAGACTGGGGAATTTGTATTCTTAATAAAAACACCAGATGCTTCTCAGTATTGGGTGAAGTTTTGAAACATGGCCCTGGGGTTTGGAATAAATATACTTCACCTGGGTCAGTGTCTCACAGAACACTTTCTTCCCTGTCATTTAACACTCATTTATTTAGCAACTACTACAAAATTTCTGAGTCAATGCCAAGCATTCGACTGTTTCCTGTTATGTAACACTGTTTACATCGATCCTCAAGCTGTTTGCAGGTTAATTAATCCTTTCACGTGTTCACTCATTCAACAAACACTTATTGAAAGTTCTTCATATGCCAGTTGTGTCCAAATATTTGGTGGGAAGAGGAAATGTTCACCGAAGTTATATCTCCAGGTTCCTGTCCAGCTGTTTTCACTGGGGTTGACAGGCAATTTATGGTGGTGGTAGAGAACTGAGGAGGAAGGAGAGGCAAGCAGAGATGTGGGTTGGCTTTTTGTCAATATTACAATATAGCTCTGCCACTGGCAGTGGACAGACTCTGAGGGACTGTCCAGATTCCTTTATTGGCCACGATATGGTTAGATAAAATATCATGTGCTACTGGGGCTTGGTAATTATTATTTTTTCAATACTGTACAGAAAATTTGGGGGTGATGGTTAAAACTTAGAGTGATTTTTGTCCTGTTTGTGTAGGAAGAGTCATATAATCTCCAAATCTATTTTGTTCTTGCCTCTCTGCTTACGACCTTTTCTTTAAGCATGTAATCCTTGTCGAATGGCATTGTATTTTTAAGCAGACCTGAAATGCCAGCTGAAATTGCAGCTCAACTCTCTGTGATTTTATGTGTTAATGGATGTTTTATTCGTGGGTGTAAAAACCAAGTTCAGTGGAGTAGGTGGAAACACCTCTGTGCTCAGAGACCTGTCTTTGGAACTGGATGTCTCTGTTGCTGGTATCTGGGCCACTTTGGTAGCTCTGCAGAAGGCCATGCCTACCCCATCTACTTCCCACTGCAGCCTGGGCCCTTCCCTGCCTCTAAACCCCTGACTTTCAGGGTTTCTCATTTTATCTTTTTAAAAAATATTTGTGTTTATTGATTTTAAAGAGGAAGGGAGAGGGAGAGAGATAGAAACATCAATGATGAGAGAGAATAATTGATCGGCTGCCTCCTGTGTGACCCCCACTGGGGATTGAGCCTGCCACCTGGGCATGTGCCCTTGACTGGAATTGAACCTGAGACTTTTCAGTCCACAGACCAATGCTCTATCCACTGAGCCAGTTAGGGCTCATTTTACTTTTTTGACATCAGATAGAAAGAAAGACTGGAAAATAAGCCCTACAGATATGTGAAGTGTATCCCTTGATATTTGTGTGCACAGTCATCTCAATTGTTACACAACTAGAGGCCCAGTGCACAAAACTCATGCACAGAGGTCCCTCAGCTCAATGTGTACCCTCTCCAATCCAGGAGCTCTCAGGGGATGTCCTACTGATGGCTTAGGCCCATTCCCCATAGTTCTCTGCTCTCTGTGGGGCCTGGGGGCTTCGCCATAGCCATGGAGATGAAGTCCCCATGCCCTGCAGTGTGCTCTGTCTGCAAGGCCTGGGGGCAGAAACACTAAGGAAGCCCCCATGTCCTGCTGTCTGGGTTCTATCTACCAGGCCTGAGGGCAGATACAGCCTCACCTCTCGGCCCCCAAACCCCCCCCCCCCCCTCGCTGGGCCAATGGGCCCAGACACTCCAGCAGCAGTGGAGTGGTGAGGCTGGATCTTCCCCCTTTGGCGGCGGATCTACCCCCACCACTCAGGCGACAGGCCTGGACACTCCAGCGGCAGGGTGGAGGGGTCTGGGAGCAGCCATCTTATGGCTATGGGTGTTGCCATCTTTGTGATGGAGTGATGGTTAATTTGCATATTACTCTTATATTAGATAGGATAATTATTACTAAAGTACATCACTCAATTATTACCAAAGTCCCAAGTCTATCCCTTCTTCCTTCCTTCCTTAACTCTCTCCTCCCCTCCTTCTTTCCTTCCCTCCTGTAATGTTTTCTTGAGCATCTACT